TTGTATCTGATCCTATAGGTGATAGGGAGCCACTGGAGTTTATTTAGCAGGGAGTGATGGTTGGACTGGTGCTTTAGAAAAATCACGTGAGTGGCTGAGTAGAGGATGGACTGGAGTTGGGAGAGACTTGAGACAAGCAGACGTTATTGCAATAATCAAGGCATGCACTAGAGCGGTGGCAGTGTCAGAGGAGAGGAGGGATATTAGAGGGATGTTGCAAAAGTGAAGTCAATAGGCCTTGGCAACATACTGGATATGGGCAGTGAGAGATAGTGAAGAATCCAAAATGACTCCCAGGTTGTGAACCTGAGGGACTGGAAGAATGCTGTTGCCCTCTACAGTTACAGGGAACTTGGGGGGAAGAAGGGGAAGCAAGCACATAAATAGTAATGAAATAAAGAAAAGTGATGTCACTCAAATAAGTCCAGGCAACTCACTAATCTTATGGGAGAATGAAGTAAATGCAAAGGAGAGGTACAGGAAAGTACTGTGACAAACCTGGGGCAAGGGAAAGGGGTATTAGTCACAGTTTCATGGAGATGGCATCTGAACTGGGCCTTGAAAGAAGGGCCCGTGTTTCCTTTCTCCAGTCCTTTCAGACAAGAATGATCTCTATCTCCTCAGAACTCCCAAAGCATTTTGCACCTTTCTCGAGAGACTTTCAAAAACTATTATACTTCTTTTTCCCACTGTAATTTTCACTCATTGCAGAGAATGAGTCATGTTATTTTTATATTTCCCACTAACCTAGCACAATGTCATATATGTAGTGGGTCCTCAGTAAAGATGTATTGAATGAATGAAAGAACACATGGCATTAAGGAAAAAAATATGTACATGATTCAAAACTGTAGTCTCTAAACCTAGTTAAGCTGGATCTTGACCAAAGGACACACAGTCCATCAAGAGCCTTCCCAGATTTGTAGGACTTTTCAGACCTTTTGTTCCTCTGGCATTGACTCTGAGAACCAGAGATCACCTCCACCACAGCAGACTGGAAGATTATATACCTGCCTTTTTGGGGGTCTAAAACCATGATGTCATCAGTAGATCAACACCTCCTTTGTAACTTATAATCTTAGATTTAGGTACCGAGAAGATTAGTAGTGACTTGCCCCTGGTCACACCGACAATATTTCAGTTCAGATCAGGAAAACCTAGTCTATCACATGTGTATGTTTGTAAAATACACACATACACATGCATATGTGTATTGTATAGATATATATGTGTATTGATATGCAAATATGTATTATCTATTGGGGTTTATCTTAAACACAAAAATAAATTATTTGGTTAATTTTGGAAAACCATATGCATACCAGAGAGTTCCTTTCCTCTACTACTTAAATGAAAATTTCTAATTCTTACAAAAGGAGACTCAAGAGACATCATTACCAAACAAGCACTTGAAGAATGCTGTAAAACTGGTTTAATCTAAACCAATTAAAATCTCACATAAACTTTCACACTTTTTTTTGGGGGGGGGATTGGCATTATACTATTTCCTCTATAGATAATTTGCTCCAATTGAATTCTTTTAATTCTACTTTTTCGATATCAAGAATATTTATCTCCTTAGAAACAATATATTTCCAATGAATGAATATGAAAAGAAATTATGTAATGAAATGGAGAAAGGACAAATATAATATAATAGTTGTGCCACAATTATTTGTATGAAAATAGTAGTAGCACTAAGAACTAAATTACCCTAAAATTTTCATATAGGTATTTATTTCTGAAAGGCAATTCTTTGTAGTGCTAAGGGCATCAAACTTGGAGTCAGGCAAGACCTTGGGTCTAGTTCTCTACAACATTGACAAGCTGTGTTCCTTGGCAAGTTACTTAATTTCATTAAATTTCAGTCTCCCCATCTGTAAAATCTGGATAATGATGGTTATAAAGAATATGCTTTGAAAAATTTCAAGCATTATATGGGAGATATTATTGTTATTATAACTGGCTTTTCAATTAACTTCTCAGGAACTCAGACAACTCTTTAAGTCTGTAAGTTGCAGAGAAGGTGTCAGCCTGCATGGGTAGAGGGAGTTTCCCTCATCTGGAAGTTCCCTGTCCTAATTAAATCATAGGTCTAGTTCCTATCCCTCATTTAGTACATGTACATACTTGTCTTCCTCATTAGAATGTTAGCTCCTTGAAAAGAGAGGTTATTTCAATCTATGTACTTGTATCCCCAGTACCTTGCACAGAAGCTTAATAAATATATGTAGAATGATTATTGTTTTTGCTCTAGATTTGTTACATCATTGTACAGAAGTTTTGTTTTTTTTTTTTTTTGCATAGAAGCTTCCACCATCAAGGCAGATCAGCAACTGAGAGGTTAAGTGACTTGCCATGGTCACACATCTAGTATGTATCAAAGGCAATATTTGAACCTAGGTCTTCCTGCCTCTCAGCCCAGTACTGTATCCATTATAAGCCACACAGTCTCTTTTGTCATAGTCTCACTATTCTTATGTTTTTGATGAAGCTCAGGTATCAAGTTCCTATGACAAGTGTCGTTCCTGCTATTATTCTTTTATATGTTCAAAGGACAATTATACAGGCAGATAAAATAACTATTTTTTGTTGCTGAAAAAAAAGTATTAGGATGTAAGCTCATCCACTACAGGTTTATTACTGTTTTTACTCTATTCCTTCTCTCTTGCAGACTCATTTCAATGAATTTAAAGTACTCAAATGGTTCTGTGATCTCATTGATGTGAATGTTTTCTCCAGTGATAGAATAATGTTATTTCCATGAGACATTTAGTCATTTCCTACTGTAGTGCTTATAATATTAACAGAAAGGCAAGCATTAAGATAACTGAAGTTTATGCATCAACATCAACTACAAAGGATGACAAAGTAGAGAAATTCTACAAACTGGATAAAACTTGCCAAATTAAATCAGTATACAGTCTAATATTCAAATGTAAAATAGGTAAAGAAAAAACTAGCAGTTCACTGGATCACTTCCTAAACCTCACCAGGCAATTATTCAGACTTGAACTTGCCCATCAATATGACTTCATCTCAAAATATAATATGATTATCACTAGATTTGGATGTCTCAGAAAAAATATTACGTAGTATTCTCACTGACATGGTTGGTTACATTTATGGAACACCAACTACCAAAAAATTGTATGATGCAAGTGGGCATGCATCTCTCAGCTCCATTCATTAATTCGACAAACATCTATTAAATGCCTACTATGTGCTAGGCACTGTGCTAGATGGTAGAGATACAAAGGCAAAAATGAAACAGTCTCTCCTCTCAAAGAACTTTCATTCTCCTGGGGGAGGGGAAAAAAGCAACATGTACACAGATAAATACAAAGCATATACAAAATAAACATAGAGTAGTTTTGCTTGATGAATGATTGCTATGGGAGAGAGACAAACAACTGGGGGAATTAAGAAAGGGCCTCTTGTAGGAAGTGATATGAATAGAAGTAGGAGTTCTAAGAGGTGGAGGTGAGGAAAAAGCATTCCAGGAAAAGTTTATGCAGTAATGTCTATGTGAAACTGTAGATAGGCTAATTTGGCCATAATACAAGAATGAGTTAAGTAATAGTGAGTTAAGAACGTGAAAAAAGTCTGGAGAGATTAGCTGGAGTAAGGCAGTGAAGAACTTTCAATGTCAAAGAGAAGAGTTTGTATTTTATCCTAAGGCAAAAGGAAGCCACTGAAACTTCCAGAGCAGGAAAGTGATCTAATCAGACACATGCTTCAGGAGTAACAATTTGGCAGCTGTATGAGGATGGATTGGACGGAAGAGAAGCAGGCTGTAGGAAAACCAAATGGGACATTATTACAATAGTCTGGTGACAAAGGCTCAATCAGGACAGTGGCTACTAAGTAGAGAGAAGGGAAGAAATGGTAATTGATTGGTTATGTGGAGTGAGTAAAAGTATAGAGTTGAGGATAATTCCTAGGTTACAAACTTTAATTATTGAAAGAACAGTGATTTCCTTGACAGATCTAGTTATTTGCTCACACTGATCCCCTATGCCCAGGATGCCCTCTCTCTCTAGCCTTCTTCCTTGCTGAATTCCTACCCATCTTTAAAAATCTAACTCAAATGCTACCTCCTTCAGGAAAATCTGAGTTCTCTAGTTTGGAAAATCACATATCATTTGTTTTGCAGGTTTTTAATGCACTTATGAGGTAATCTTATGTATTTGTATTATCTTATCCCTCTAGCAGACTTTAATAACCTTGATGACAGAAATCATGCTTTATCTAAATTTTGTCTCCCTAGAGGACAGAATAGTGCTTTGCATACAGTGGGTGATTATTAAATATTTATTAAATGGTTAGTGAGTAAATGGCTACCAATATTTATTTCAAAATTTAAGTGAGACCACTTTTACTGAGTCCCAATAGAATCTGAAATCACTTCCCTAGTAAGAAAAAGCAAAGATGCTTCACATGGTATGGCTGAATATTTTTGCGGCTTTGCTTGTTTAAAAGACTACTTTTGTTTCAGAAGAGGGGTCATTTCTTCTTACAAGAAAAAATTTCCCTCAATCTTATCACAGTGTCATTTTAAGAAAAGTGTTCATTGCTCTGGAAAGAGTAGCGGGAAACTGAAACCTTTTTACTGCTGCTGTTTTAAGGTTTTCTAAAATACATAGTATAAGGGACTATTTGTGCAATATGCTTTCAAGAAACAGGTTCTAACATTGATCAATATTTATCTGCATTTTGATTAGTTCATCACTTTGCTGTAGATTGATTTAACTGGACCAAAAAGTTCTATAATTCTGTATCACCTCCCTTTTAAAATCTCTGTTTTTGTTTTACACAACACAAGGAAATGGTACACATCTTTGGACTTTTAGCCCCTCAATCTTCCAGTCACATCAATCTAGCTGTAATTGACTAATATGCCAAATTTTACATAAAGAATTTCATGTTACAACTGGTTTAGCAAAAGGGCAAACACTTCATTCCTTTCGGCCTAACTCTTCCCTCAAAGTGCCACATACCTCTTACAGAACTTCTGAGTGCTAAGCCAATACTGTGAGTTCAAGGTTGTTAATGATTTCCCTTTCTTTTGTAGGATTTTCTGAAGACTGTGTCCATGGAAGCAAGTTGTATTCTGGTCTTCTGCCCAGTTCAACTGGAAACTTGATGGTTTCTTCTTTTCTGGATTTGGTGCTGAATCAACCAGTATGCTAAATTGTTTTTGGAGGTTTGCTACCATTCCTGGAAATAGATGGAAGAAAACCGCATAAGAAAAAGCAGTGCTTAACTCACAGAAATACAAAGTACATAATATGATAATGATACCAATTGTTTAAAAAAGCATCCTCGAGTACTGTTCCCCTTTGAAGTAATCCCTTTGGATGGCTAGAGACACTAAATCCAAAGCTTGTGGTGCTCAAAGAAAATAGTAACTTTTCGTTACAATCACATTTTGTTTCTGAAACAAAATGATACTGCCCACTTTAACCATTCACTGTATTCACCAAGGCTCAAATGATTTCTAATCAACAGGAGAATGTTTTTTTCTTGCTTCCAAAATGCAAGCCTTCTGTTAAAGGATGAGGGTAGAATACTAGAATAGAGGTAGGAGGGATTTCAACAGACTTGGGCTATGGTCCCAGATGAGACACTAATTTACTATGCAATCTTAGACAAACCACTTAACTTCCTCTAGGGCTCTTCTACTGTAAAGTGAGGGAAGAGGGATGGGTTACATGATTTCTAAGTTTACTTCTCTGTGTTTAGAATATTATGACTTTACTTTAAGACTTACATTCATTGAAGACATTTAAAAAGGAAATGTGAAGGAATGTAAAGGCCATTTCAAAAGATGTTTCAACTATCCATATAATCTTAAGGTTTTCAGCTGCAAAAACATTTAAACCTCAGTTTTTAATAATGGCAGCAATGCTGGACAAAGTGTATTTGATGATTAAAATAGCTATTTTGATAGGGACAATACTTTTTTATGTGTGTGCATTATGGCATCTTAAAAACATCAGTTATAACTTATAATCACAGCTTGTATATTTACAATTTTAAAAAATACAGATTTTACTTCTATATAAATGGTGGCCTGGTATAGTGGCAAGAATAGAAGACTTTGAGTCAAGAGACCTGGATTTGAGTCCCATCTCTGAAACTTCCTAAGCATATTTCCTGTGGCAAAATACTCTAACTTTGTGGCTTTAGTTTCCTCATATATAAGATGACCAAAATAAGATGTGTACTGCTAACTTGTTGTAAGGAAAGCACCTTATAAACTAAATGAATATGAGATATGATTTTTATAATCATCATTACTGTTATTGTTATTATCAGAAAACATATTACTGCCAACATAATTGAGCAGTTTTGGTCACATATTAAATCCTGCGGATAAGGAAAATGATAAGATAAAACTATGTAAGTACATAATAAGTAAGTGAAAACAATACTCGAGAAAAATTCAACTCACGTCGTCTTTTGTAAACTACTGATCTGTCCACTGATGAATAATACAGTGGCTTTGCACTTTTCCACAGGTACCTATAAATGGAAAAAAATTGTAACATGATGGAAAAGAAATGATGAAGGAGAGACCACTTTCAGTTGAAGGCAGTGAAATAAAAGAATGCTACCTAAAGTAAATGATACCCATTAGTCCTTGAAGGAAAGGAGAAACTAGTTTCTTTTAAAGCTTAGCTTAAGCACCATATGATGTCACACTTAATTCACCAACACCCCCACTTCTAGTGTACCCCTAAAATTATCTTGTATCTACTTTGTATATATTTATATGTATATATATGTATGTACACACATGTTTTATGTAAACTTATATCTGTACTTATTCTTTCCCCTGATATAATGTAAAGCTCCTTGAGGGCAGAGACTACTTCATTTTTTTTTTTTTGGTCTTCGTATATCTAGCACCTAGGATGATGCCAGGAATATAGTAGGTGCTCAATAAATGTTTCTGACTGATTCAACAGATGGAGATGGTGATGGTCCATTTTAAGTATGGGGATGATAAGGGCAAAGGCACTGTGACAAAAAAAGGCAGGCAAGAACAGGATACAGAAAACAGTTCAATTTGGTTGAAAATAAGTTCATGGAGACGAGTAATGAGATAAGCCTGAGAAGATGGTTTGAAATCAGAATGCAGAGGACCTTGAATGATAAAATCAAGAATTTTTACTTTATTCAGTATACACTAAGTAGTCACTGAGGGTTTCTGAGTAAAGGAATGATGTGATTAGAGCAATAAATTGGGAAAGTTACTAAAACAGCCATGAAAAGGATGAATTACAGACACAATGGGGAGGAAGACAATTTATGCAAATATTTGCATAATCTACGTGAGAAGAGAGTAGGAGTTGAAAAGGGAAGACTGATAATATAGTATAGTGAGTCAATAAACATTTATTAAGTGAACTCACAATTTAGGAGTATAGGTGTAAATCCTGCCCAAGAAGCCTTGCCATTTCAGAAGGAGATCATAAAATACATGGCTTCTTCTCCAATCTTTATTATGTAACAAAAGGTCAAATGAGTCATTTTTGAAAATGTTGCTTTAGAATCTATAAACTTATACTACTTCTAATTTATGTGGAATAAAAATAATACAGGTTGTCCCAAAAGTCTTAGTTCAGTTTTAAGTTATTAAAGTTTAGGCCTTTGGGATACCTTGCATATATTGACTTCAATTTAATATCTTTCTGAAATGCTTCAATATCATATTGACACAAAATAAGATTAAAGAAATTTTGTCAGCTCAAAAAATATTTTCACCAATCATTCTTGATCACATAAGACTAAAAAGATCAGTACATGGCCAAGAGAATGATGATCTAGGACAGGGGTGGGGAGCCTGTGGCCTTGAGGCCACATGTGGCCCTCCAGGTCCTCAAGTGTGATTCTCTGACTGAATCCAAATTTCACAGAACAAATCCTTTAATAAAAGGACTGTCAGAGCATAGAATTTAAGAGCTAAAAGAAATTTACTCCAAATCTCACATAGGCATATTGCCTTCATATTATAAGCTGGAGTACATCTAGTCATAAGCAGCCAGTATGGTGACAGTACTGGAGACCATGCCATATGAGAAGTCGTTGAAATCCTTTAATAAAAGGATTTGTTCTGTGAAGTTTGGATTCAGTCAAAGCGCCGCACTTGAGAACCTAAAGGGTCACATGTGGTTCCCCACCTCTGATCTAGGAGGAAGTATAGAACAGTGGGAAAACCTGTCTCTGATACTTACTACTTGTGTGATGTCAGGCAAGTCACGTAATTCCCCAGACCTCAGTTTTTCCTTCTGTAAGTAAGAGAGTTGGTCTATATGGAGTTTGAGGTCTCTTACAGATCCAGAACCAATACCATCTCAGGAAGGTACATCAAAATAATCTAGTCCAAAACATACTTGAACTGAGAAATTACATTCAGACTCCCTGACAAGCAGACATTTAATGTCCACTGAAAGACCTCCAGTGATGACAAACCTGCTACTTGTTGAGGGAGCTTGTTGTAGTGTAAGAGAATGCTAACTGTTAAGAAATAGTTCTTTCCACTAAGTCAAAATCCCTCTCTCTAAAACTTCTGTTAAACATCCAAAGTTTCTTCAACCACTTCTCCTATGGCATGGTCTCCAATACTGTCACCACACTGGCTGCCTATGTCTAGATGTATTCCAGCTTATACTATGAATGCAATATGCCTATGTGAGATCTGCAGTGAGTTTCTTCTAGCTCTCAAGTTCTATGCTCTGTCAAATAAGGTTGGTTCTATACAAAATCATAATACAAAACAAAAATCAGCCAAAATAAAGATAAAATAGTGTACATCTCCCTTCTTTTCCTTTGACTTGGTTTTAATGGCAGTTTCTCTCTATTAAGGAAACAGGATAATTGCTGGTGGCTTTCACTTTGATTTTCTATATTACTGGGATCAGTAGGATGAGGAAGGAACTTTAGAAAAGGGGTGATGTTGGTCAATTGAGGAAGATAGTGTAAACCACACAAGACAAACAGAATGTAGCCTAATGTCCAAAAAATGGTTATATATTGGTGAAAACTGTAAATTCACTGTACTTTAGCTTTTAAGTATCTAGGATGACCTGAGAATATCTAAGTGATTTAGAAATACAAGTGATTCAAACTGGAGTATTAAAAAAAAATGTACTTTGCTCTGAATTCCTCTTGTTTTTGCTGTTTCTCATCAATTATTTTCTTCATAATCTGATACCACTTTCTGAAGTCAAAATATGGCTTACCTGGAAGAAAAGAAACTTAATTATGCACCCTACAAAACCTGGGATAACATACATAACCCAAATGATACCTCATTTATTGATTACAGAATTAAGGAATCATAGATTTAGAGACAGACAAAACCAAAGGATCATCTAGTTCACTCCCCTGTTTTTAAGCATTTTAATAATAAATCTTGGTAAACATATAGAACCAATAATTCCACACTTAACTGAAATACTAACTTGCCAGTCTTAGGATAGGGGGTTAGGTGCAAAGTTGGGTGCACAAGTAGTTCAAAAAACAAGGTTGAGAATATCAATTAGTATAGAAAATAATGCAAATACTTCAATGCTTCCACTGAAAGTTTAATATTTTATTTTCTGCCACACCCAAATAACTGATGTGTATGTTCCAAGTTGTAGGGTGATGTCCCTCCTAAGTTGAGGGTGTCTCCATAATATTCCTTTAAAACAAAACAAAAGAAACAACAACAAAAGAAAATGCCCAAATCCTAGCTTTACTGGAAAAAAAAAAAACACCAAAGGATATAAAGTAGCACGGGAGAAATAACTTTTTTGGAAAGATGGAGGGTAGAAAAATATCACACAAAGGGGGATGGAGAAGAAAAAGACAACTGTATACTTAGAGCTTAAAAAAAAAAAAAAAGGCTCTTCCTGAAAAGGAGGGAGGTAGATCCTCTCTGAATGAAGCGGCTCCTATTCTCTAAGGAATGCTATAGTAGATCCACAGAAACTGGCACCATGAAGACCTATTAATTCCACATCACAACAACTCTCACATCTGCCCTTGCTTTTCTATCTCCACTGCCATCACTCTATTTAAAAAGTTACCACATTATCATGTGCTCAGACTATTGCAATAGCCTTTACATAACTCTAACACCCTCTCCATTCCCCTAATTCTTCATATCAGTTATTCCTCTGCTCAAAAATTTTTGCTGAGTTCCTATTGCCCTAAGGAAAGCTCATATTCCTTTGACATTCCCACCACTATCTGGTCTCAACCTACTTTTTCAACATGAAGTTACTAGGCCTTAGTCTAGGGCCATGAATATCAAAAGCATTTTCCTAGGCATCCTGGTATTAAGAATACCACTAACCCCAGATAAAATATGAAAACTCAAAATATGCTTTAAGCATAAACTCAAATGGCCTATAAACATAAAACACAATTTGGAGGGGGCACAATTTAGATATTAGATTTTAGAGTGAATGATATTAATAGAGACATTCAAGTACCTTCATGGTTATTTTCATTATTTTCTTGCGCAAGGCTAGAAAGGGACCTACAAATAATAATAAGTAAATTATCAACTAATTTGAAAACAATCACAACCTGAATTCTTCTACTTAACATACATAACTAATTGAACCAAATTTTTGGCAGGAAAAAATGAATCATTTGACCTGTTTAGATACTATACATTCTGTCAAATTCTGTCTAAGGGAAAGCAGCACTAAAAATCTTGCTCTCTCAAGCCAATCTTAAAAAGAATATATACACTATCAAAATCTAAGGATAAATAAATAAGGTCCTACTATGAATATCAAACAAGTAATGCCAAGAAAGAATCTAGTACATTATAAACCATTTAGTAAGTCAAAGTAAATATTCTGAAAATAATTGAGACATAAATGCACTGGTATAAAGCAGTTAGGGCTGCTGAATGTTTTATGGCAATTAAGACTTTCCTAAGTAAAAAATTTAACATAAATTTCTTCACTCAAAATAACTAGTAAAGTCAGTAACAATGGTATTACTTTAGTTTACTTAATATAATTATCATTATAAAGTGTGACTCCCCACTAAATAAAGACATAAACCACATATTTACCATTCAACATTGTCATTCAATAAAAAGAGTAGTTTCAGCACCACAACAATAATAGCTACAGCCTGAACATCATATTTAACTGTCTTTGTCTTTTGAGTTATTGGATCAAAAGTCAGGAAATCCACTTCTCCCATGCCAGTTATTCTAGTCACTTGACAAGTCAGGCTATGCATTTCATCTGTAGAAGAACAAAATAGGAAAATATAAATGGAATTTTCCTAAAAACTTGAACATTCTAATATTTGTATATCATGGATATATTTAGATGCACTTTGAAACATTTAAGAAAAATGGCATTTTATGATGTTTCAGGAAAAATAAAATAACAGCTCTCTCAAAGTTATTTTCAACAAAAACTGACTAATTTATTAAAATTCATTGTTATATATTTCATTTTCTAAACAAATTCAATGAGAATATATGTATGAATATATTATTTATTATATCATCAAAACACTTTTTAAAAACAAGTCCATAAAACACAGTGAATGCCAATTCCCCCTTAATACTTAGTACCTTCCAAGATTATCTACAATTTATTGTTTATATCTTGTTCATAGTTATTTTCATGTTGTCTCCCCAATTAGGCTCTGTGCTCCTCAAGAACATGGACTGTGTTTTGCCTTTTTTTGTATTCCTAGTGCTTAGCACAGTGCCTGGCACACAAGAGTCACTTAATAAATGTTTGCTGATTTGACTTTTACATCTAACTACACTGGACAGATTAACACCTGCAGCATCATACTGTTGGAATGTTCAATAGAATAAAAACTATTTTATTGCATATCTCTCTTTGTTTTGATCTATTTAAGCATTCCTCGTGTTTATCATACATTTGGAAACCTAATTATGCTTTGCGTCATTCTAAACGAAAAATCATAGTGATTTATTAGTAAAAAAAAATGTTCACTAACAACAAAAAGCTGAAATATTAGTCTCAAAGTAATTAGAAAATGCTTAGCCAAGAAAACTTGTAAATTTGCTTTAAGATATTCCAACATACGGTGGAGTTGTGAACTGATCCAACAATTCTGGAGAGCAATTTGGAACTATGCCCAAAGAGCTATAAAACTGTGCATACCCTTTGACCCAGCAATAGCACTTCTAGGGCTGTATCCCGAAGAGATCATAAAAATGGTAAAAGGGCCCACATGTACAAAAATATTTATAGCAGCTCTTTTTGTGGTGGCAAAGAATTGGAAACTGAGGAGATGCCCATCAATTCGGGAATGGCTGAGCAAGGTGTGGTATATGAATGTAATGGAATACTATTGTTCCATAAGAAATGATGAGTAGGCAGACTTCAGAAAAACCTGGACTTACATGAATTGATACTGAGTGAAGTGAGCAAAACCAGGAGAACATTGTACACAGTAACAGCAACACTGTGTGATGACTAACTCTGACAGACTTACCTCTTCTTAGCAATGCAAGGATCTAAGATAACTCCAAAAGACTCATAATGAAAAATGTTATCTATATCCAGAGAAAGAACTATGGAGTCTGAATGCAGAGCAAAGCATACTATTTGCTTTCTTTTTTTGTTTTGTTTCTTCTTTCTCATGGTTCCTCCTATTGGTTCTAATTCTTCTTTATAACATGACTAATGTGAAAATGTTTAATATGAATGTATATGTAGAACCTATATCAGATTGCATGCCGTCTTGGGGTGGAGAGAGGGGGAGAAAATTTGGAACTCAAAATCTTATGAAAGTGAATGTTGAAAACGAAACAAATTTGAAAAAAAAAGATATTCCAACATAAGACTTAAATATAAATATGTCTATTATATTGAAAGACTTAGATATTAAGACTTTACTCTTTCAATCAAGATAGTTTTCATTTATGTTTTAAGAAGATTTACAAAAAGATTTGCTAAATTTGCATATTATTTGCATCAGCCTCTAGGGAAGCACAGCTTCCTCTTGGGCAATTTGTAAGCTAGAACTATATTATTATTATTTGTTACTGCAATTTCTTGACTCTCCAGCACAAGAAATACATAGTAGGAAAAAGACAGGGGAGAAAGATGAAGAAGAGGTAGCACTGATAGTAAATAGAAAGTGGGAGGGAAGACATACCACTTTAGTTTTTATACCTCTGTACTGTGATGTAATATTGTATATTGTAGTTATGTCATCTTTGATCAGTATCACAGAATGTAAACTCTAATAGTCAGAGACTATGTTTTCTTCTGGGATCATAGCTTTGGATCTTAGAAATTACCAGTTCAACCTCTTCTTTTTATAGCTGAGAAATGTGAAGCCCAGAAAGGTTGAGTTACCCTAAGACCCAACAGGCAGCATGCAGCAGAGCCAGGCTTCAGCAAGCCCACCTTTTGAGGCCAGATCAGAGTACCTAATATACACTAGATGACAGTAGGGACCTCTCTCCCATTATACAGCCCTTGACTCAACCTGAAACAGAAAGTGGGTAGTCAGGCAAGTAAAGACCATTAAACTAGCCAAGTGAACCAAACTGACCCTCCTGCCACTCCCATTCCCACCATAGAACTGGTGTCTCAGATGGAAGCCTGTTATAAATTTATGATTTTACCAATAGGAGACTGTCTCAGTTATTTTTTCTGATGCCTAGAACCATCCTTATCTAGCTCAAGACTGAAGCATATTGGGGAGAGCTAAAGGCTCTCTTTCCTCCAATGATAGAAGGCTTTTTAACCTCTATTCTTTGAAAGAAAATCAAAGAAAAAAAGTAATTTAAACATAAGACCACTGATAAATCTCACAAGAAGAGCAGAAATTTGATCTTCTAAATAACAAAACATTAGACTAGCTACTGTGGTCTAAATATCATCAAGAAAAATTTGTAAAGTACTTGTTTTACTGTCACTTAGTTTTTAATATGGCCAATTTGTCTAATTTATTTTGCTCCTATTAAAAAAAAAACCCCTCACATCTTTGAAATTACTATTGCATCAGTATGGTCACCATATTTGTACTTTCTCACAAGTCTAAATCTCCTGAATTTCTCACACTTCCAGTTCAGCAAGAATTTCAGGAACTGATTATATCAGTAGATTCCAACTAGGTTACCTGTAGTTGAGTGTATTTTAAGCTATGTCTAATGAAAATCCTTTTATGCTCTGTATTTCGCTACACTGAATTCAAGGCATTAAGTGTTATTCTTGTTACACCAGATTTTATTCTGCATCTTCTAATGGAAAAAGAAACTGGCAAATATGAATTTCAAGCTAGTGGAGAGAGCACTGGACTTGGAGTCAGAAAAATCTAAATTCAGATTTGACCTCTGACATTTATTAGCTGTGTGGTCTTTGGCAAGTCACGTAATCTCCTTCTGCCTCTATTTCCTCATCTCTAAATTAGGAATAATAAAGCATCTACCTATCAGGGATGTTATGAAGATGAAATGAGATATTTGTAAAGTGCTGTGCAAACCTTAAATAGCTGTGGGTAGTTATTGTTATCATTAAACACTTTTGGAATATTTTTTTTTTTTTTATCTAATAAACATGTCATTGAAGAACAGGTGATGCGAATGTTTGAAAACTTCAGGCATCACAAATGTTCTAATAATTGACTCAATTATCTGGACAGAATTTACCTTTATTCCTGGCAGAAAGAGTAGAGACATTATTATCATCATGGGGTAGGTAAAAGACTTGTTCTGTTTGACCCTAGAGGAAAGAACTAAGTGCTATCGGTAGAAGTTGCAAAGACGCAAATTTAGTTTTGATATAATGAAGAACTTCCTAACAATTAGAGCTATCCAAAAGCAGAAGGGGATGACTTGAGAAGTGGTGGGCTCCTTCTCCTCAGAGGTGCTCAAGAAGAGTCTGGAAACCACTTGTCTGAAACCTTATTATAGTGGGAATTACTTTTGTGTATAGGTTGGATAAGCAGGCTGTTAAGATCCCTTCCAACTCCTGAATTCTGTAAATGTAGGCACTTAAGCCTAAATTCAAATGAGTAAAAATGAAAAGCAAAACAGGGCAGAAAAAGACTACCTTTTCAAAGAATATTTTTGGGTGCCATAATTTGAAATATTTCTGGGCTAAAATTTTCCTTTCAAAAGATGTGCAAAAAAGTTTTGCCAAATAAATTGATGGTACAAATAAGAATATGATTTTTAAATCTTTTTTAGAACAAACTATTTTGGGTGCTTTAGAAATATTAGGTTGTATAACTCAATCAACTTCCTAATTACAAATCACTCTTATCTATTTAGTGAAGCAAGACTCCTAAGGAACAGTTTCCCTTCATGCAACCCTAATTTTTACATGTAGTTGAAATTACACTGAATTTCTTTACAAAGATTCTCTAATTCAGACTACTTATTAATTCAGATTGACCTTCCTCATAACCACATAGAATCAGTAATGTACTGAAAGTCAGGGTAGCACAGTGTCCAGATACAAGGCCTTCAAGTCAGAACAACCCAGGTTCAAGACCCATCTTACATGTACTAGCTCTGACACTGGGCAAGTCACTAACTTCTCAAGTACCTCTTAGGACAAGTGGCAGAGCAGCTACTGACTTGCACTGATACAGGGAGTTTCTTCACTGGGAGTTCTACATATACTAATGAAATCATAGGTCCAGTGAAAAACAAATGCTTTACTGTGATGGTGACATTTAAAATTTTTTAAAATAAACATATTCTTTTTCCTAGAACTAATTTTTGATGGATTCATTTTATTTAAGCAGCACATTTTAAATTCACTTAAAATCCCTACTTGCTTCTTGTTTTATATTATTTAGGTTATTACTTATGTGCTATTGCTATTTTCATTTTGTTTCATTTTGTTTTGTTTTGGTTAGGCAATGGGGTTAAGTGACTTCCCCAGGGTCACACAACTAGTAAGTGTTATATGTCTGAGGCCAGATTTGAACTCAGTTCCTCTTGACTCCAGGGCCAGTGCTCTATTCACTGCACCACCTAGCTGCCCCCGATTCACTTTATTTAGACAGAGTAGACAACTCCCAAACATCTACACAGTTCCCTCAACAAAGTACAGTACCAAAAAACAATTAAGCAAAACCATCTAATTGTGATGGTCACTAACAGACATGCCACTTTTTCATTAAGCTGAAAATCCTAAAACCTTTCCAGGAACCACCTGATTTCTAGAATAATTCTTTTCTGATCTGAAGCTACGCATACGCGCATTTATTAGTAGTAGTCAAGACAGGGCTGTCATATTAGTCTGATAAATCAATAAAAAAAGCATTTGTTAAACACCTACCTAGGTGATACATGCTTAGCACACAAAGTAAAAAATGGTTCCTGCTTTCAAGGATGCTACATTCTTTCTATTATATTTTATCATTCTGGTGCTCTAATGGTGACAATACCAAGTGGCCTTAGATTTCTTATCACAATATTCAATTGACTATAATAAGTCTAATATGTATTGTATAAACATAAAAACATTTCCTAAGCACACATACACGGACATGCACCCATACACACACTATATATAGTTATACAGATATAGATATATGGTCTACTTACCAGGTAAATTGGCTTCCATCAGGTACTTCATACACAACATATTTGGATGGAGAAAACAATTCTCAGTTATATCTGGAAAACGAGGTAAGTCCAAAAATTTTCCAAGTTCAATCATTTTTTCATATATATCTTCATAGACAGGCCAAGACTAAAATAAAAAGGAGACATTCAAGGTAAAGACATCATTTTTGCATTTGGTTTTTAAAACTTTAGGATACGTGACAAAAGATAAAAGGATACGATTTTTTTTTAAGGCAATTGGGGTTAAGTGACTTGCCCAGGGTCACACAGCTAGTAAATGTCGAGTGTGTGGTTTGAGGCCAGATTTGAACTCAGGTCATCTTGACTTCAGGGCCAGTGCTCTATCCACTGTGCCACCTAGCTGCCCCAAGATAAAAGGATATGAACGAGACTTCCATGAATGTGCTACCTAAATAGAAGACAAGCTGCCCAGATCCCACAGACCTCCTTTAGCAAAACCCTGAAGTTTGCACCAGTCTGAATGATGAACAAGAAATCAAATGAGAAACTACAGTGACATTTTCCACCTCAGAACTGAAGAAAAAAGTCAACCAGGAAAGGTAGGTTCTCAAGCAAAGTAAGGAACAGGGTAACCATAGAAAGAAACTTGTAGCTTACAACATGGCTGTGTCTAGAGAGGCAAGAAAGTAGAAGGATCTCCTGAGAAAGTCCTAGGATGCCCAGAAAATCCCAGGGCAGGGACTTTGGAAATGCTGGGGATTAGCAGCTCATAGCTAAGTGCTGACCAGTGCACAAGACTGAGAAAGTCCAGGACCAGGGGCTTTGAGGTCCTTAATACTCTTTCCTGAGATGCCAGAGATGATCCTGAAGACTTAGCACTCTGAACCTTAAAGACTGGTGGAGAAGGCAGGTGAACTCAGGGAGGAAAAGGTCATTACAAGAATACAAGGTACCCAGGGTGACACCAAGTAAGGTTGACCACCGCACCCAAAAATTACAGCAGGGAAAGGAACAAAGCTCTAATTCATGAACTAAAGCTGGAGAGATAAGCAAGTCAAAGAAAAAATTATTGGCAATTTAACTCAATGAGAACTGCAAGCAGAGAGTCAGCAGAAAAAAGTGGATTTTCCACATGAACGCACATAGAAGAAATTAAGCAAGAGGGAAAAGTGAAATATAAGGTTTGAAAGAAAGAATAAGAAGGAGAATATGTAGCTTGGAAGAGAAAATGGTAAATCTTTCCCAAGAAATGGAACCCTAAAAATTAGAGTAGACAAAACAGATATCAATGATTCCATGAAGTAGCAAGAAATATAACAAAATCAAAAGAGTGAAACAAAAAAGAAAATGTAAGATATTTGATATAAAAGACAATTGATTGTTGTACATAAGGAGAGAGAATTTAAGAATCACTCAAACTGGGGCAATGGGTGGCGCAATGGATAGAGCTAGGTGGCGCAATGGATAGACCTCCAGCTTTGGAGTCAGGAGGACCTAAGTTCAAATCCGGCCTCAGACACTTGACACTTACTAGCTTTGTGACCCTGGGCAAGTCACTTAATCCTGATTGCATATCCCCTCTTCTCCCCCCCCCCAAAAAATCACGCAAATTCCCTGAAAACAATGATTCAAAAAAAAGACCTATATTTAAAGAAATAATGAACGAAAACTGCTCAGTTCTATCAGAATAAGAGGACAAAGTGAAGTCTGAAAGAATCCACCAGTCAACTCCTGGAAAAAAATTAAAAGTCCCACATAATATCATAGCTAAAACCCAGAGCTTCCACATTAAAGAAATAGGAAAAAATACGCAATCCAGAAAGAAAAGAAATTCAAGTTTCAAGGAACCACACAGTTAGGATCACACAAAGCTGGCGTTTCTCTTCTACATGAGGGTAAATCATGGATACAATATTCCAAAAGGCAAAAGATAGGGAATTATAACCAAGAATAACTTATGCTGCAAGTTGAGTGTAATTCTATAGGGGAAAAAACAGTCCTTTAATGAAAAAGAGGACTTTCAAGTATTTCTGCTGAAAATAACAAAGCTGAGAAAAAACTCTGAAATAAAAACACAAGAGACCAGAGAAACCTAGAAAATTAAGTTTTATTTAGCAGTTAGAAGGAGCTACTAGATGACACAGCACTAACATTCTAAAAAAAAGAGAAGAAACAAGCTTCCCATTAGAACTTTAATGTTGTCACAGCTAATAGCTAACAGTCATACAGCACTTATGATGTTCCAGGCACTGTACTAAATGCTTTTAAGTCACAACAAAAATCCCACCTTCTATAGGAAGCTTCTTTCAGCCCCTCTTAATTCTAGTGCCTTCCCTCTTAATTATTTCCTATTTATCCTGTATATAGCTCGCTTTGTATATATTTGTTTGCATGTTGTCTTCTCCATTAGATTGTTTTTTTAAAATTCATTTTATTTTTAATTTATGGAATAAAAGAAGCATTTGATTGTTCATGAAACAGCAAATATACTATGTACAACTTGCTATTCTTTTCAAATATACAACAAAATTATCATGTAAATTTCTTTTTTTTCTTCCCTCCCTCTCAATCCCTGCCCTAGAGATGGCTACCATTAGACACAAATAGGTATATATATGTAAAATTATTCTATATGTATTTCTACTTATCATTTCTTTCTCTGGATGCAGATAGTATCTTTCTTCATATGTACTTTATAGTTAACTTGGGTATTTATAATAGTTACTAACTTATTTACTCAAAGTCATTCTTAAAACAATATTGCTATTACTATATACAATGTCCTCTTGGTTCTGCTCATTTTATTCTTCATCATTTCATGCAAGTCTTTCCATGTTTTTCTAAAATCATTGAGGTCATCATTTCTTACAGCACAGCAGTATTCCATCACAATCACATATCAAAACTTGTTCAGCCATTCCCAATTGATTGGCATCTCTGTAATTTTTAGTTCTTTGCCACCACAAAGACAGCTTCCATACACACTTTAGAATCTATTTAAAACACTTGAAAGTATTGGTATAAATGGATTATTCCTTAAATTGGTGAAAAAAAAAAAAGCATTTACCTAAAACTATCAACAAGCATTATTTGTAATGGGGATAAACTAGAAGCCTTCTCAATAAGATTAGGTGTGAAACAAGGATGTCCATTGTCACCTATATTATTCAATATTGTACTGGAAATCCTAGCAATAGCAATAAGAAAAAGAAGGAATCACAATAGGGAATGAGGTAATAAAACTCGCTTTTTGAAAGTGAAAGGATGATATAGTTGACTAAAAAGTTAGTTGAAACAATAATTTTAGCACAGTAGCAGGATATAGTAAATCCACATAAATCATCACCATTCTTATATATCACAAACAAAACTCTTCAAGAAGAAATAGTAAAATATACTCCATTTAAAATAACTCTAGACAGTATAAAATACTTGGAAGAACACCTGTCAAAACAAATCCAGGAACTGTATAAACAAAATTATAAAAAACTTTTTATATAAATAAAATCAGATTTATATAATTGGAGAAATATTTATCACTCACGGGTAGGCAGGACCAATATAATAGGAATGACAATTTTACCTAAACTAATTTATATATTCAACACCATCCCAATTAAATTGCCAAATTTTTTTTTACTGAATTAAAAAAAAAAATAAAATTCATTTGGAAGAACAAAAAGTCAAAAATATCAAAGGAAACAATAAAAAAATGTAAAGGAAGGAGGTTTAGCAGTACCATATCTTAAACTATGTTATAATATATGTATTATAATATAATTATATTATCAAAATTATCTGGTTAACTATCTAAATTGGCTAACAAATAGAAAGGTAGATCAATGGAATAGAGTAGACATACAATATACAACAGCAAATAAACATAATAACCTTGTATTTGGCAAATGTAAAGACTTAAGATTTTGGGATAAGAATTGATTATCTGGTAAAAATTGTTGGGAAAATTGAAAAGCAGTATGGCAGAAACTGGGCATAGATCAATATCTACATTAGGTTATAAGCTCCTTGAGAGCAGTGACAGTTTTTCCGCCTTTTTTTGGAATCTCAGCACTTAGCACAATGCCTGGCACATATGATGTGCTTAATAAATGTTTATTGATTAAATGACTACAATTATCTCACTTGATCCTCACAACAACCCTGAAAGTAGGTGCTATTATTATCTCCATTTTACAGATGGAAAACAGAGGCTGAATGACTTGCCTATGGTAACACAGTTAATAAGTATCTGAGGTCGAATTTGAACTCAGGTCTTTCTGACTCCAGATCTAGCATTCTATCCAATGGACCACTTAATACACAAATGAAGTTAAATAAGATAAAACAGAGATCCAATAAATGTATTAGTTCTGTTCTGAGGGTTTTAAGATAGGAGAGAGAAGGCAGGATAAAATAAGGAATATGCTAATATAGAAAGGAGGAAGAGTGGGGAAGGACTGGCTATTTCTCATAACTGGAGGACGTGAGAATATACACATATAGAGGAAAGGGTAGCAGTGGCAGGCATCAGATGAACTTTACTCTCAAATGAAATGGACAAAAGAGGACTAAACACACACACACTGAGTTCAAAACAGGAACATATCAAACTCAACCGGGAAATAAGCTGGGATGGGAAGAATTTAAGAGAGAAGAAGATACTCTAGCAAAACAAATGTCCTAATCCAGGAAGAGGTACTGAAAAGTGGTGCTAGGAAGAATTAGAATCCGGGTGATGTTAGATCGCCTTTCAGACAATTTGAAGAATTAACAACAAATCGTGGAATTGTGAATACAATCTTATTGTACCTTAAGAAATAATTAAAGACATGACTTCAGAGAATCTTGGTTAGTATACACTGACTCAGAGAGAAGTGAAAAGAATCAGAAGCACAATTTACACAAAAACAACAATGTAAAGAAAAGCAACTTTGAAGCACTTTAGAACTTCATCAAGGAAATGAATAACAACGTCTCTACAGGACCTATGATGAAGCATGTCACCCACCTCCAAACAGAGAAGGAATGGGCACAAGGTAAAGAGGCATCTTTTTGATCTTTTTGGACATGGTTACTATGTGAATATGCTTTGCTTGACTTCACTAACTTGTTTCAAGGCATTCTCCCCTCTTTTTCTCTCTTGGCTAATGGGGAGAAGGAAATTAG